TTATTTCAGTTGGTTTGTTCAAATCATGGTTCAAACAAGGTCTATATTTGCATATTATGTTTCCTAAATTTCTTTTTAATGTAGAGAATTTCCCACTTTCCTTTTTTTTCTTTTATGAATTATTGCAGAAACTGCGGCAGTTGTCTTGTGAAATGTCCCCCATTGTATATTTTTCTGTTTGCTTCCTTGTGGTATCATTTAACTTTATTCCCCATATTTTTGGTAAGTGAAAGTTTGCTTTAGGGACTTGATTAGATTCAGATTTGATTTTTTTTTGGCAAGAGTACTTTGTAGGTGGTGCTGTGTGTATCATATTGCATTACATTAGGATGCTGCTCCACTTTTAGTGGGTTTAGGTGGTGACAGTGGATCTCTTTCTTAGGAGTTCCCCATTATTATAGTTACTTGCTCCCTTCTAGCAGCCACAGTTATACCTTAATCACATCTGCAAAGTCTTTTGCCACATAAGGTAACCTATTTTCAGGTTCTTAGAAATAGGACCATTATTCTGCCTACAACACCTAGGCTCTGAATTGATTAAATTTTATTTTTTGAAACTCTAATTTTCGGGTGCATTTTTAGCATTAGGTGGTCTCTTCAGTCAGCCTACACAAGCTCCTGCCCAGTCCAACCAGCTGATACATACAGCAAGTGCTCTTTCTGCTCCAACGCTATTGGGAGATGAGAGAGATGCTATTTTGGCAAAATGGAATCAACTGCAGGCCTTTTGGGGAACAGGAAAAGGCTATTTTAACAATAACAATGCACCAGTGGAATTCACCCAAGAAAATCCCTTTTGCCGATTTAAGGTATTATACTGCTTTTAATCTTGTTTTGAAGAATAATGTGTAAAAGAGAATATATTTAGATTAAAATAATATCAAGAAAATGATTGCTTGGTTCTTCAGTACTCCTTGAACATGGTACAATTATACTTTGATTTAAAAAAAAAATTATAAAATTGAAGTGATTTCCTATGTATGTGTGATTGAAGGTGACCAGAATATGACCTCAAGAAGATGTGACTGAAATATGATTTATACCTGAGGGAGAAATGTTGAGAGAGGGTAATGGTCTGGTTAGGACCTATAAGGGGAGACCTGAAACTAGAATTTAGTGGTATTCGTTTAACATTGTCCAGGAAGTATACCCTAACCAGCAGATAGGAGTATCTTTTCTGCTTGGCAGGTATAAATATATTGTCACTATTGTAGCTGGATACCAAAGCCATTAAAGCAATATAAGTCCATTTTCTTTGCTCTGATTCCTTGCCTGCCTAACAGCCTTCTCTTAAATTTGACTTCTCAGAGAATCTGTTCATCAGCCAGTGATAGTATTCATTGAAGTCAACTTGGCAGTATATTTTTCATGACAGATTAATCAACTGGCATTTCAGTTTATACTTAAGCCTCTTGTGAGTTTTGTTGTCTTATGTCAGTCTCTTGAGCCTAATCCTTGTGTACATAATCCTATCTCTGAAGCTTCAAAGCTGAGGATCAGATCCTTGAACATGGTTAAATAACAAAAAGTCTCCAGCTGCATTTGTTAGAGAACATTTATTTTATCGCTGTAACAAAACAAAAATAATGTATCTTTTGAGTATATATAGTTGAAATTTTAATTTTTTTTTTAGAGACTAAGATATAAAATAGTAGACATAGGTTGACTAACAACTTAAATTTTAATTGAGGTGTAGCATACATACAGTAAAATGCATAATGTACACTAATCTAGAGTGAATTAAAAAAATTTTAAGGTGTGTGTAAGCAGTAATGAGACATAAAAGACTT